GGCCGAGCCGCCCCTCGGTGAGCGCCGAGCGCTGGCAGCCGCGCCGCAAACATCTGCTCTTCCAGCGGCCCCATGATTCACCGGTTATTAATTGGGGTTTGGCAGTGCTGGGATGTGTTTGCATCCCCTGGCTCTGCTCAGAGCCACAACTCGCTGCTGACAGGCGTTGGGTGCCAGAAAAGGAGCCAAGAGCAGCAGTGCACCGGGCGCAGCGGAGCCGGGCCAGGACGGGCACGAGGCGCTGGGCACAGGAGCGGTGCAGCACTGTGAGAGGTGCCAGCAGCAGTGCCAGGAGCCCAGCGCTGCTCCTGGGGCTGCAGGTGGTGGTGGGAAGGCACTGCCTCGGCTCCCACTCTTGGCAGCATCGCTGGGTGCTGTTGGTTCGTCCTTCCCTGCTGCAAACAGCACTTGGTTTGCGTAGGGTCTCCTGGATGCTCCCATGAGCAGCACTGAGCTGCTCAGGCATCGAGAACTGCAGAGCTCGGGTAGCATCAGACAAAGGCTTTGAAAAGCCTCCTCCAAAGAGAGCCAAGAGAAATATGAATTCAGAAGCTGATTAGAAACCATGTCATGGCTCGTTCCAACTCCAGCATTTGGGGAGGAGTGAGCTGGAGGGGGGTGGGGGGAAACGTGCAAAATCTAACTGGGATTTAGGGAAGGCTTTATGCACGGGGAGATGCCGGAGCACATCTGCTTGCAGGGCGGGGGGACACCAGAGCACCCCCGGTCCTGCAGAAACGTGGAAAGCACAAATTAATTCTCTTTAATCTGATGGGCACCAGCCCTGCTGCCACGTGCGGCTGCCACAGCTGGCAGCGAACAGCCCGGCCCCACTGCGCCGTGCCCCCGTCGTCAGCACTGGGTCTGCAGAACCCCAAGGATGCTCCGACGGGCACAGTGCTGCTCCACAGCCCCAAAGGCCACTCTGTATTTCCACATCCCATCATTTTCCCCACACCGCAGGCTGTGGGAGGGATGCTCCATCCTCCTCCATCCACCCATTGCTGGGACCCATCCACCTGTGCATCCCGGCCCCCCCGCCTGCAGCACGTCTGCTGCTATTCTTAGCTCCCAGCCCTGCGCTCTCCCAGGCGATGGCACCGTATTTTACTATTATTACTCGCTGCCAACGGCTCGGAGCAGGCAGCCAGGATCGTGGTGGGGCTTCCACACCCCTGTTGACCTGTCATTCGGTCCCTGTCGGGGTTTGGGCCTCTACGTGCTATTTCAGGAAATCCAATTTTATGGTCAGAAGGAGCACACGCCACGCATTCTGCTCCCAAGCTGAATCCAGGCCTTTCGCATCGCCCTCCTCCAGATTTTAGCTTCGCCCATGACTGAAACAAGGGCCAAGAGTCACCTTTGGCTCCAGATCCCAATTTCTGCCTCGGTGGGATCCAGGGTTTCAGCTCAGCAGATCAAAGAGAAGCGCCTGCAAAACCTGGAGCTGGAGCCCCACGGCAGCACATGGGCACCGAACCCATGGGGCCGGATCCTGCCCACACGGGTGGGCACAACCCACAGCCACAAACGGGCTCTGCCCCGAGCTGCCAATGACTGGGGAGGCAGAGGAGGAGCCCCTGTGCATTGCAGCATCCTTCACCCTCACCTCCAAAATCTGCCACCAGTGGGGCATCGCAGGCAGGAATAACGCCGCCCCACAGCTGGGAAGCTCAGCACTTTGATGGCAATTTTCTCCCTCCAGCTCTGCCAGCACTTGACAAAACACTTGGGATAAGGGATGGCTTGCCTCGTGCCCGGATCCCAGCAGCAGCGCCCGCGGTCGCGTGTCCTCGATGGCCGTGTGTGCAGGATGCTCAGAGCTGGGAGGCGAGGGACTGAGATAGACAGGAAATGACATCCATTTCCTAAAGGGGAATCTGCGCTGCCGGCCGAATCCTGCCCCATTTACAGTGAGGGAGGCCTTCAGCTCTTGGCTCAGGCTCTGGTGGGGGCTGCTGCTGCCCATGCATGGCTCTGGCCCCTCCTGCACGTTTGGTGTTTTGTGCTCAGCCCCATGAGGGGGGTGACAAGCAGGGCTGAGTGTCACAGGATGGGAAAGCTGAGCGATCCCAGCGCCAACTTGCTCTGCAGGTTGGGCACGAGGTGGAGGGACAAAATCTGATCATGCAGGGGCAGGAAGGCTGTGAGAGAAGAGAGGGACCCAGATCCCATCCCCTATAAGCCTCCACTGTGGGGCCGGGTTGGACCACAAAGCCTGGAAACACACTGAGAGCCACAGCCCTGCGGCCTGCACCCACCTGGGACACGGCTGTCACAGCCCCAGAGCCCTCGTGCTGCCGGCTCCACGACTGCCGAGGAGGGAGACCCCCGAGCTGGGGGGGCTGGGCCTGCCCAAACCCAATCTGAGCCCTCGGAACCAGGTGAGCACCGGGACCACATCCAAGGGATGGCTGCAGCGATGGCACAGCCTCTCGTGCCCGGGGGGCGGGTGATGCTGGATGCTCCATCCCTGCCCTCCCCATCTCAGCCCCCACGCAGCGGCACCAAACGGCCCTCGGGTGGGCACCGAGCATCCCACTGCGGTGCCTGTGAATACCCCGACCCACCCGGCCGCCCCCAGCTCTGCTCCAGCCCCAGCGCAGCCCCAAAGCCTTCCCCGACCCCGCAGCCGTGCTCACACCGACCCCCGCGGGATACCGCGCAGGGAGCGGCTGCGGGAAGCGAACGGCAGGAGAGGCAAAGGGGCCGCCGGGAGCACCGCGAGCATCCCTCGGCAGCCCGGGCACCAACCGCGGACAGCCGCCCCGGTGCCCACCCCGATACCCCTCCGCAACCACCCGGTGCCCCCGCAGCCCGCCGCCCTTACCCCTCTCCGCCGCCTACATCCCGCGGCTGGGGCGGGGCGGCCCCCCGACGGCCCGGCGCTGCGGGGCTGGGCACGGTTCGTCCCGGTTCGGTTCGGCACGGCTCGGCTGGGCTCGGCTCGGCCCGGGCCGGCGCCCCGCGCGTGGAAGCGCGGCGGGAGGCAGCATGCGAGTGGCGGCGGCCCCGCAGTGCAGCGCGGAGCGGAGCGCGGCCGCCGAGGCGCAGCCAAGACGCGGCGGTGGATTTTCCCCGGGAATCAGAGCGGGAGGCGGCGGCGGCGGCGCAAAGATGGCTCCGGTGCGGCTCTGCCGCCGCCTCCCGGCGCCCCACGACCCCCCGCTCCGGTGCGGCTCAGCCGGGCCGGGAGGGGGAACCCGCGGGGCCGCGCACGGGGACGGGCAGCTGCGCGCCTTGGGGGTCCCTCCCACCCGTGGGCTTTCCTCCCGGGACCCCCCTTTACCCTCCCGGGAAGCCCCGAGGGGCTCAGCCCCCTCCCCCTCCCAACAATGCCGGCGGCAGCCGCCCTCTCGCAGAGGCCCTCGTGCCAGGAGCTGTAATTTGCTAATAATAATAATTACAGCACTCGCAGGGGACAAGTGCAGCAGAACAACGGGGTGGGGAACGCCTTGCTGCGTGCAGTGGCGGTGGTGGCACGATGGCAGAGCCCGGCCCTGACCCAAAGCCACCCACCAGTCTGGACGTGGGGCAACAGCACGGCCCCTGTGAGCTCCTGGAGCTGTTTTTGAGGTTTTTTCCCCCCTTAAATTGTTTTTTTAAGCAGCCACATTCCGTGCCCTGTGCCCACATCCCAGCACTGCGGTCCTTGCGCAGGCCGCTGTCACCACGTGGGTTGTCACAGCATCCCAGCTTACAGCAGTGGTCCCATCGTATCCCACCACACTGAGTAGGGTCACAGGGAGCCGTGGTTTTCCAGCACAGCCCCCGGCCTGCAGGCTGCCCCCGTCTCCATGTGCGACCCCCCAGCTCCTGGTGCACGTGGGGACCAGCAGCGCTCTGCCGACCTCCTCACGAAGTTACATAAAACAATTAAAATTTCATGCGTGCTCCTGAAGGCGAATATCGGGGCTGCCGATGCGGCTGGGTCACGGCACGGCGTGGGGCACGGGCGCGAGTGGGCCGTGCTGAGATGCAGCAGCACAGCGTGCAGAGCTGCGGGCACAGCACGGCGCCCAGCCGCACCCCGGCCCCTTGCGGATGTTCCTGCCTCGGTTTGCGGCACGTGGAAATCCCCCCCGCCGCAGCGCAGTGCCCACATCCATGCGGCGCAGCCCCTCTGCCCCCAGCAGCGTCCCCAGAGGGATGTGAGGGGAGCAAGACACGGGTTTTGGGGGTGCCGGACGGCGCGGCTGGGGGCCGAGGCCATGCTGTAGCAGCGGGACCCCGCGCAGCCCCTCTCCCCCCGCCCGCTGCTTTACGTCCTCTCAAAGCATCGATCGTGCCGAGAGCCCTGCCAGGGGGCTGAGACCCCCAGGTGTGGGGCAACCCGTGCCATCGTCTCCCCCCATCCCCTCTATCATCCTCCCGCTCCCCTCGGAGCCCCCCCGGCCGCAGAGCAGCGCCCACCGCTCACATTCGCGCGGTGCCGGGGACGCGGGGCTGAGGCAGCGACAGAACGAAACGGGGCTGGAAAACACCACCCGCCTCCCCCGCAACGCCAAGGCCCCGCACCGCCTCTGCCGCTCGAGGGCTCCCCGGGGAGAGGAGACGGCGCGGGGGAGTTCGAGGCCCACGGGTGGGAACGGGAAGGGGGGGCCGGGGCTGCCCCTGCCCGGCTGCGTCCCGGCGTTCGGAAAAGAGAGGCGGGCAGCTGTCGGCTCATTCCTTTTTAATCCGGCAGAGGATTGACGCCGAGGGCACGGAGAGGGACGGGGCTTTGCGTGGCCCCACCGGGAGGCCCCACTCAAAGCGGTGCAGTAAATTCAGCGGTGCACATCCCCGAGGGACCCCCAGTAGGGGATGGAAGCCTCGGACTTCGCTCCCCACTGCGGCTCGTGGCTGCTGGGGATGGCAGCGCTGTGCTGTGCACATGTGAGAAGGGAACCACGCGCCCACACTGCGTGGGGATGTGCTGAGAGCACAACGGGGGCGGATGGAGATGGGGGCGTGAGGTGAGAGCCCCTGAGGAACAGAGCCCCTCAACCCCCCCAGCCCTATGTGGAGGTGAAGGAGATGGCACGGCCACCAGGAGCCGAGCCGTGGGGGGCAGATGGGGACAGCGGGAGGCAATGAGCGGCCGCACGCAGCGTCCTTCCCAGGTCGGCACGGAAGCGTCGGATGCAGAAGCAGTAGACGAGGGGGTCGAGGCAGCTGTTGAGGCTGAGCAGAGCCACGCTCAGCACGTGCAGCACATCCAGGGCGGCCGGGGGCCCGCAGGGCGGCGTCGGGGGCCGACTGCCCACCCAGGGAGCCAGCATCAGGTGATAAGGAGCCACGCACACCGCAAACACCAGCAGCATCCCCAGCACCATGGCGCGGGCCTGCTGCCGGTGCGACCCCGGGGAGGGGACGGCGGTGTCGGACAGCGAGCGGGCGATGGAGGCGTAAGCGCCCAGCACCACCACGAAGGCGACGGCAAAGAAAGCCACCATGGCATAGGCATAGGCCCGCTGCCGCGCGTGCTGCTCGAAGCAGGCGGTGGCTCCGGCACGCGCCGGTGAGGTTTGCCGGGTGCTGAGGGCGGGTGCAGCACAGCCCAGACCCAGCAGCCACGCCGCACCGCACGCCAACGCCGCCCCACGGCGCCCCGCCAACGGCAGCGCCCTGCGCACCGCGCTGAGCCGATCCACGCTGATGAGCGCCATGAAGGTGACGGCGCTGTAAGTGGCCAGGTAATAGGCGGCGCCGGCCAGGCGGCACGCGGCCTCCGGCAGCATCCAGTCCCCCCCGGCCAGGTAATAAGGGATCCAGAGAGGCAGCGTGAGGTTGAAGAGGATGTCGGCCAAGGTCAGGTTGATGAGGTAGATGCGGACGGCTTTGCGCACTTTGCCGCGCTGCAGGAAGACCAGCAGGGCCGCCAGGTTGCCCGGCAGCCCCACGCACAGCACCAGGCAATACACGACGGGCAGCAGCACGAACTGCACCGGGTCGCTGGGCACACACGTGGCCGGCGCCGAGATGTTCATCCCAGGGTCCTGCGGAGATGGAATCCAGCACAGGGCTTGGCTTGGCTCCATAGAGGCGCTCTTCACCCCCCTCCCCCCCCGGGCCCCCATCCACACGGCCGGCACGGCGCACTCTGAGAGCGGCAGGCACAGCTGTGCTGTGGCCATGGGGCTGAGCTGCAGATGGCGGCACCCGGAGGTGCTGTGCTGGCTCCAGCTCAGTGCTGTGGGGTGTAACGCTGATCCCCCTGCTCTGCCGTGCCCCCGTCGCCCCACATCCCACCCAGAAGTCAGCACACAGGGCAGCACACGATGGGGAGAGGTCGCAGCATGGGGCAGTTTGTAGCCCCAGGGCTCTCCCAGCACTGTGCACCCATGGACTCATCGCCGTTCTCCAGTTCTGGGCATGGAAAACCTCTCTCTGTTGTAATGCCCGTAGCACAGAGCTGCAGCAATTTCACCTCTCATCACAGCTGCCCACACCTCAGCGATGGCTCTGAGTCACCCAGCGGGCGGCTCTCAGCACAGCAGGGCCAGACTCAGCGCAGCATCCAACACTGTATCCATGCAGGACTCATCCAGTGGGCCTGAGCTGCCTTGCAGACCCCCAGATCCCTTAACAATCCCCGTTTCTTTTCCCTTTTACTGGCAAATAGGGGATGCACCCACCCAGCCCTGCACCCCACACTCAGGGCATGGTCCCAAGCTCCATCCCATCCCTGCTCAGCAGGATGCTGCAGTCACACGGAGCTGATTGCTTACCACGCGTCCCCTCCAGCTGCTCTGAGTTGTCTGGCAGAGCTGGGCTGCAGGGAGCTTTAAATGCTCCGGGTGGGCTGGGAGTGCTTCATTTCCACCCCTGTAGGAATGAGTGCAGCCAGAGAGAGGAGGCACCTGTGTGTGTTTGTAATGGAGGAGGCCACGCTGGAGCCATGCTAAGACCCCTGCGCCAGCGTGGGCTGGGGAGAACGGGGGGGAACCTCCAGGCCCATTTCCCAGGCCCCACATGAAAGCAGCAGAGGTCAAATTTCTGCACTCAACAGCTGGGGGGAAGGAGGGGGAGGAAGGGGCAACCAAATGGGATCAAAGCCGGAATCTGCCTCTTTGTGCCTTCATTTGCTTCAAAGGGGGATTCAGTGGGAGTAGTGCCCCGGGTCCCCCCAGCACCACAAAGAGGAGGCAGCCCCCTCCCTGCTGCCTCACACAGCAATGCTTGGGCGCTGTTTTGGGTCAGGATCCCCCAATGGAGGTGCTGTGATCAGTTTGCCCCAAACGTGTCCCAGCCTCTTTGATGGTTGATGCGCAGGGTTCCAACGTGACCTCGGGGTTGTGCCCAGCTGTCACCACAGGGCACTGAATGCATCCTGGAGGGCAGATGTGCCCTGACAGAGCAGGGTGCTCAAGAAGCTCTGCTGAAATAGGGTGGGGTTGGGGACACGGCTGCTGTCCCACCTGGATGTGCAGTGAGCAGCCGGGCGCATTGCGGGGTCACCACAGGGCTCCCATCCCATGCAGACGCTGCCCCTGCACGACACCCACATTGCCATCATCCCCAGGCGCTGCTCCAGCAGCCCAGCACCCCCTGCCACACCTCAGGGACCCCCCAGTCCTGCAGCTCAGCGTGGAGGGAGGCAGAAACGGAGGAGGCAGAGCATGAAAAAAACAGAGGCTTTATTCCAAAAAACCACAAGCCGCCCCCCCCAGGAACCCAGCGCCAGCGCAGCACCGCAGTGATGGCAGTGCCACGATCACCATCCATCCCGCAGCCGGGACAGCACACAGCAGCGCCGTCACATCGCTCCACAGCAAGCAGAGCCACCGCTAAAACCGCCCCGACGGCACCGAACGGCCGCGGCCTCCCATCACAGCACCGCCGTCATCGCTCCGTCCCGGCTCATTCTGCCTTGGCCTTGGCAGGCGCTGCGTGCCCGCGGACGTTGAGCAGCAGCAGCAGCCCGAGGCACAGCGTGGCGGGGGCACACATGGCCAGCGGCTCCCGCAGCGCCAGCAGCGTGTAGATGGCACCTGGGGGGGCACGGGACGCTGGCACGGGGCGAAGGGCGGCGGAGGGCATCCCGGACACCCCCTCCCCGCCCTCCCTCCCCCCCCCGCCGGCTCTCACGCACCGATCATGACGACGCTGAGCACGAAGTTGCTGATCTCCTGCAGCAGCTGCGGCCCGAAGGCGAGGAGCAGCCCGGCCGCCGCCTCCACCGCACCGACGGCCGTCAGGTAGGAGCCGGGCGAGGGGGAGAAGCCGAAGTCCCTGAGGGGGAACACCTCCGCGAATCGCACGAACTGCTCCTGCTGGAGGGCGCAGCGCAGGGCACGGCTCCGGCATCGCTGCCCACGCGGAGCTCCGTGCGGCGCGGCGCCCCCCGGGACCCCCTCACCATATGGCGGTGCGAGTCGGCCGAGAGCCGCTCCGAGAGCTTCACGGAGCCCGCGAGAAGGAAGAAGAGCCCTAGGAGAACGCGAAGAGCCCGGAACGCCGCCGCCATGGCCGGGATGGGGCGGGGATGGGGCGGTGCGGAGCGGATCGGGACGGCCCTTCCGGCTGCTGCCGTCCTCCGGCCGCTCGATCCCTGCCCCTATCCGTGCTCCTATGCCTGCCCGCAGCTCGGGATGCAGCGGTGCCGGTGCCGAGCCGCTGCTGGCATTGCTGTTCCCTGCCCTGCTGGAGCACCGACCGATGGCAGCACGCAGCCCTGGAGGCCCGCGAGAAAGGGGAAAGAAAAGAGCTGGCCCTCCTTGCAACGCTGGGGTCGGCAGCTCCAGGCCCCGCACGCGCGGCGGTGCTTCATTAAGTGCAGGAAGGATCCAGCGCTTCTGCAGGGACACACAGGAGCGAGCTGCGGGAGAGCAGCGCGGAGAGGAAGGAATTTTCCCTTTGCTTGCGAAAAACGCCTTCCTTCAGCAGGGCTGAGGCACAGATGGGAGCCGGCTGCAGTTTTTTTTGTGCAGAAGAGCAAAATCATTGCAGCGTCTGTTTGCTTCCCTCTGCTCCCCGGCCCCGGCAGTGCGCTGTGCTGGGAGCGGAGCAGCGCTGCCCCTCGGCTGCGCGTCATCGCCGCAATGACTCAGAGCTCAGCAATAAATAACAGCACCCCGCGCAGCCCCGACCTCACGGGAAGCAGCTGCGGACAAAACACGGCTCCTTCTTTCACCGAACCCCCCGTCCAGCCCCACCTGGGATCCCGCTGGCTTTAGATTCAAGAACCCCCTTCTAGGAGTCGCTCATCGTTTGTCGGGCCTTAAAGGAATCGTCCCCATTCAGCACAAGGCCAGACAGCAGCAGCTGCCCCAGGCGCGCTCGTTCTGCATCTCACCGCCCCATCCTCCTCCCAGCAGCAGCCAGCAATCCCTGCCCCAACCGCTCCCAGCACAGCCCCCCATCCAGCACGGACCCCAATACCACAGGCACCCACCCTCAGCCCCACACTTTGCACAGAGTTGATCAGGCTGATGAAACAGCAGAACCGAGGCCTCAGCTCCAGCAGGCAGGGAACAAGCAGCTGCCAGCACAGCATGAGCTGATGGAAACGCAGCGCGAGTCGTGGCTCAGGTGGCAGAAGGGCCAACGCAGCACCGGGGAGAGAAAAAATGAGGGCTTTGTGCAGCCCTCCAAAGCACATCCATCAATTTCCAATATAAAAACCACGGTTTGCTTATAAAAGGTGTGGGAGGTGAAGAGAGATGTGAATGCTGATGTCACTGAGGGGGAAACAGAATTAGGGCAAGTTACTGGAAAACAGCAGGAATTTGAGGGGAAAAAAGGCTGCGTGAGAGGACAGCAGCCATGGAGACAAGCCAGCAGTGCAGTTCATGCTCTTTGAAGAAGCAGCAGTGGTTGGAACAGTGACGTTTGAGCCATTGCAGAGCAGCTCTCAGGGCTGAGAGCCTTTCCACCTCCCGTGCTGCCCTGCCAGCAGGGGGATGAGCAGCATGACGCACTGCTGGCCCAGGCTGACCAAAGGGACGCCCCCCAGCATGCAGTAAAACACGAGGGAAGCCTGGCAGTGCTGCCTGCACAGCAGATGCTGCATTTGATCCTTCCCAGCCCAAGGGCAGGAGGCGCTCAGCCCCAGCGCTGCAACACCACGAGGAGCCACCTCTGCAGGTAAGGCAGCTCCAGTTCTCTCCTCAAGCTTCCTCCTCCTCAGATAGAACTGAAGTCTAAATTAAGAGGTGAGTAGTTTAACTTTCTGCACATCGCACAGTACTGATGAATCTAATTAGCAGAACCTAATCACCAAACTCATCTGCTAACGGCACGTAACGCAGCACCACTGCACCTCCTGCAGTCACTGCACTGCAGTTTAGGAACCACAGAACCTCTCCTGGAAATCTGACAGCTGTCAGTAATGCAGAGATGTCAAAAACACCAACAAATCCTTCACCTCACTGCACCAAGAGGTGAAACACAACAGCTCACGGCTCCAGCGCAGCGCCAACCTTCCCCAGTGCAATTATGCAGAGTGGCTTTAATGCATCACACCTGTCCTATCCAAGAAAATCAATTTGAACCATGGAAACTCATGCTTTAAGAGCAGAAAAAAAAGCACTGCTCTGGTTTTCAGGCAACTCCAACCCTGGCATCCAGCTTTAACTGCTGCAGTCATTGAGTAAATGACGACAAATCAATTGAGCAACGAGCAAACAGTGAGAAATCCAACAGGTACACAGAGCCCTGCAGATGGGGATGGAATGGGTGGAACTTCCAGAATCAACTCAAGTGCCTCAGGGGAAAGAATCCAGGAAAAAATCAAGCTGGTCATTCTCACAAAAGCCCACACGGCTGCACGCTGCTCAGGAAGCACAGCTACCCCACAGCTGACATAGGTCAACTGGCAGAATGAGGGCCAGGGCAAGGGCACAGCAGGTGAAAAACAGACACATCACAGCCCTCAGCTCAGGGCACCTCGTGTGTTTGCCACGTGAAGCCCAGTGCCTGAACCCCTTCCTCACCCAAAGCACATCCTGCATTCCTCCCACAGGCTCGCACTGCAGGCGGTTTCTCAACACAGAACATAACGGCTCACCTGCTGAATGCACTCCACCACAAAACAAGGCAGCATTAAGAAAATTCAAATACTTTATTTTTAAAAACTCCTAGAACGTTCCTGGCTCCTCTTCACTGCATTTGGGCTTCGTCTTCTTCTGCAAGTACAAAGCGTGCCGTTAGCCAGAACATAGAAATCGCCACCAGAAATCACAAGCAGCCACACAGAAAGGGAATCAGTGCATCACGAGGGAAGGCCATGCACCTGACAGACTTTCTCTAGAATCTTAAGGTCTCTCGTTAGGCTTGAGATGAAATGAACAGCATCCACATTGTCCTCTACTTCAAACTTAAAAGATCTGAAGTGGCTTCGTGCTTCACTACCCAAGAAACAAGAGCAGCAGTGACAAGGCACACTGGATCCAATCAGTTCACTGATTGAATCTCATCACCTTCACGACTTGCAGGGTGACCTGCAGCACGCCTGGGTTGTCACTTACCCCTCCCTCATGTTACAGAACTTTGCATGTTGCTCTCCACTCAAGATTTAAACAAATCTGCAGCTCCCCTTGTAGTTTAAGTAGCAAATTAGAGGGAAGATGTCATTAATTCCAGCTCTACAAGTTACTTTATTTCCCTAAACCACTACCTGCTCCTTCAGTGTTCATTAACTACTTCAAAAACACAGCTTTTGTAGCAACTTTAACACTTAATTATCTGCTTCATTGCTCTCCTCCTTTGCTGACAATCACTGCACCCCATTCCCAACCCATCCACTTCAGCCTCAATCTTAGGCATGATTATTTCCTGCCCTGACCACCTGCAGTGTTCAGAAAACGGTTTTGCATGATGCTGCACGGCTGAGAAGCCTAAACCAACAGTCATACCTTGGCTCTACGAAAGAAATACAGCTTTTATATAAAAATGAGATCAATCACAGAAGCTTCAGGCAGGAATTACCCCACACATCCCCTCGCGATGTGCTGCTCTAACAGATCAGCAGCCTAAGGGCATTCTCTACTTACTTGTTGCCTTGTTCCCTTGCTCCACTCACATCACGGGACATCACGCTGGATGTGCTCATGCTCAGCTCCTGAACTGGGAAAATCATCACAGGTTTTATCAACAGCAGGTCTGCAATCTGTCATACAAACAGAAAGGTGTTTCTGCTCCCAAGTGCCAAACCCAGGTCACAGCCCCACAGCAGCACACCAAGTCCCACATCCCACACACTCGCTGCTTGTTTCCCACTGACTGCACACCAACTGCCCATTTGGTTATTCCACTATTCAGAACAGGACAGGGCTGTGCTTACCTCTCATGGATGAGCACCCCAGTTTCACTCAGCTCGCATCTTCACCTAAAGGATAACAAGTGAAGTTATTACAATAACATACAGAAACTTCTAACCATTTCAAAGCTAACTTAAAAAGCAAAGATTTCAGATACGTGGACTGATTAGTTATGAAGGGGAATTTACAAACTATTCCAAAATATTAAATGGAAGAATAAGGGGCAGAAATAGGCTAGCCTAAGCACTTGTAAAGAAGTGAAGGAAAATGCATGTAGTTGACTGAAGAACTGCACCTTGTCAGAGCACAAACCGTAAATCACCAGTCTGAGTACAATGTGGTTTGATTGCAGCCAGAGGTATACTATCCCTTATGTGAAGGCATTAAGGATTCCAATCAAGCTACTTCTTCTATTTGAGCCTAGTTTGTCTCCTGTACAATGCCCTCTTCCTTCTGCTTCGTGAAGGAGTGCAGTGCCCCTTATTCCTAGCAGCCCCCAGTTCGATAGTCCTAGAAGTGCTTCAAAAGCCAAAGGAAGACACTAGAGATTAGCACTGGAAGTCTACTGCTTTTATTCTAAGCGACAGCTTCTTCCCTTCTGACCTCCCCCCCCCTTTTACTTACAGCTTAATTGAGGGCAAACTTCAATGGTTAGCAACTAGGGATGTAGCAGTACAAGGTTCTGTGCACACCTCAAGCTGGGAGGCAAATCGCAATGCTCACAGTGGGATTTCACCAGGTAGGGAAAAGTTCAAGTTTAGTCTCCAACCCACCACCTGGGTTTTATCATGGCCCTCGGGAGCAGAAAGAGAGTATGCACATTTTGTTTTCTATGCCATAGCAACAAACACCATGCATAAGGGATACTATATCTTTGTGCATCCTTTTAACACTCCAGATTCACTTCTATAGCCACACTCCTCCCAGCCCTCCCAGTTAGCTCTTCAGTACTGGTGCTCAGAAGCAACATTTATAGAGATGGGGTTTCACAGACCACTGCGGGATTGCACAGCCAAGTCCTAACATGTCAATCATTACCTAGCAGCAATGACAGAAGTGGGAGAAGGCCAATCCTCCCTTTTTTCCTTTTCCAGTAAGTAGCTATTTAAGAGCCCCACTAGCTGGTATGGAGAGAGAAATCTGAAGCTAATTAGCCGATTCCAAACTTCCTAGTAGTGGAAGAAGCCAAGTAATTAGTCAGAGCAGCAATACTTTTTATGCATCCTTTCTAACGAGCTTAGCCTTATTTAACGTGATGGAACAGAACACTGGCCTTCCTGATCATGTCACTGCAGCTGGCAATGATTAACAGAGACATGCAACCCCATTACTGCTGAAGTCCTAAAACTACTCACAGGCCTCAGTGTTTAGCTATGGGGAAAACTGCAAGCAAATCAACACTTTGGATGCTTAATGTTACAGTAAAGCCCCCATACACGCTATGCTGTGCTCTCCTGACAGCACCAGAATCTGGCCTGAGGGCCTAACAGGTACGCATATGTATTCTGACACCACACTTCTGAGCTTCAGATGATCTTTTTGAGAAAAAGTGTGTTTCACACCAAGATAGAAAACCAAGATGAAACACAATGCAAGCACTTCAATGCCATTGGTTGGTACGCGCTTGTTACAGACTGGCTTTTCAGTTATCTACCACACCGAGTTTCATTACTGCAGGCAGTCAGAGCTGGTATGAGACCTATGGTTCAGTCACAGGTTGCTTGCTCCAAGAGTGTCAAAACCCTACCGAGTTTAAGCATGTAGAATAGAGCAGATGTGCCCATAACCCCTCCACGACATTTCTGCAGGTAAAGTCAAGTGTCCAGAGCACACTGGAAATACTACTTCCATCTGAGCATCGGTTTAAAGATTAACAGTTCCGTTTTACTACATGACAGCATGCACACTGTCAGCAGTTTTGCTGCTGAATTCCAGTCCCAGGTTTAGAGTAAGCCATCACCAAAAAAAAAATAAATAAAAAATCAAACTGACTTTGTGACAAACTGTGCCCCTGTTTGGTCAGATTTGAGCTACACTCACTGCGCTCTAAGCAAAGGCCTAGCATTGCAGTCTTGAGATGCAAGGTGCAGCTGGCTGCTTTCAGAGGAACACTGTAAGCTAACTACAGCAGGGCAAGGCTGACCAGATCGCGTGTTGGACAGCAAGAGTATTTTCTTGAACATAACACAGATTGGTCCAAAATACCAGAAACGAGTATGCAAAGCAGAACTTTGCAGATCAAGTGAGAAAACACATCACAGCACCTCTGAAAAAGCTGATCAGACGAGCCAGATCGTGTGCTGAAACAAGGGACCTTGAAATTCAGGTTCAAGAACTCATGCAAAAGAGCTGGAGATCAGCATGTCTGGATGTCTGGAAAAGTAAACACGTTAATCCTGAAAAGCTACATTCAGCATTTCTATTAATGAAGAGTTTAGAATCACATCCTCGAGACAGATGAGAAATGAAGATGAGCATCACACTACCAAGATGACTGAGAGGCAGAAGTATAGAACCTCACCACTGTCCAAGGCAGAGAAATGTACTTTGTTTGCCAATCGAGGGTTAATTAAAGACAAGTGAGATGTCCAATAAGCTCTACTGAAATTTTACAGGGCTATTCACTCAAGCAGTCATATGTATGTCCTGAGAAGCATTCCCAATCCATCCTGAAGCTGACCACGTTTACTGAGCTTTGGCTACCAGTTTACACAGGGCTACAGCAGCGATTACTGACACATTTCCTACCGAGCCAAGACTCTACATCAAGGGATGCATTGCAAATGGGCCACTGTCACTGCGGAAAGTTTGATCGGCCCTGTCCTATGCACTGAGAGCACTGGGTTGACTTGTTCACTGAGTGCAAGACCACGCTCCCTCTTCCCCACAGAGCTCCTCCAAGAACATCTTCGTCACACCGTAACTGAGAGAAATGCACACAGGCCGAGCCACACGTACAAAGGAATCGGGTCTGAAAGCACTTTGCTAAGAACCACAGTAAGTCGTTGCCTACTGGCTTTGAACAAGGCAGAAGCTTAAAACCGAAAACCACGCAGCTTTGATGCAAGTTTAACATACAGGTATGAAGAGTGCTGCACTGTAATTCCACAGTCAGAAGTGTGATGTCAGAATAGCCACAGTATAAGATTACATAGAAAGTCACCAAGTTATATTATATTGCTTGTTACCTACCTGTATGCAGTCGGCAATGAGAATCTTGGAGCAAGCAGGAATACTACATCCGGGTCCTAATGTCCATTGCCATTTGTGGTACTACGTTCCTCACAGTTATGAACTGCAGAAATGCTGGCTAAGTGCAGTTATGTAGCAGGCCACTAGTTTTAAGTGTAAATTGCAGTCTCAGAAACTCCAGCAAAAGCTTGCTGCCACAATAAATGGTTGCCAAGGAGAAGCCAAGAATTTTTCTACCACAAAAATACCACAAAATCTCAAAAGCAGTTTCAGGTTCTCATCAGCTGTATACATGATTAGTTAACGTGTCTACACCAGAAGATGGGATCATTCTCTATTCATTTGAGAAAGTGTGAAGATATGAAGATACCAGTTTCTACATGCTGCAGTTTTTAGATATCAAGTGTCAAAAAGGGCTCAAATTTTGTTAAAACAAAGCTAAATTGCAACAGCCAATGTCCTCCAAGTCCAGTACAAAAATAGGTTATGCAAGGCAGACCCAGCCAGGAACAGGTCTGCCCAACCAAGCACTTTTCTTAGTTGCTTTGATGATTCAGTTACATCGATCTGATTTGCTGAAAAAAGTCCAAAACCTCATCGGAACAGATCAAAGGAACATGAGCTTCTCACCTCCCACGTTTCATAACTTGATCACGTTTTAACATTGACATGTTTGCCAGCTTTTAAGATACTACCTTTAAAAGGTCTTGAAGTGAAGTTGGCTATTTAATTGTCATGCCTGTTGAATACGTGCAACTCAAAGCAGAGCTCATTTTAGAGATTCTGCTTATGCAGCTACAACCAAGCCAGATTTAGCCGAGCTTTCAGATCTTTTGAAAACTGCCAAATCCTCTCCATATATTTACTATAGTCATTGTTTTTGCAACTCATCTATGCTACCAGCAGTAGCTTATGTACAAAACAGGGTACCAAAAGACCACCTCTGTAAGGTACAAGGACATCAGCATCCTCCACTCTTCAGTTACAGAGCTACAAAAGAACGTACTTTAGGATATGCACCAGCATCTCTTTAATAAAGAATGACATGTCATCTGAAAAATAAACTGAAAACATTAATTTCATGTTTGCGTTCAGAATTCCCCAGCTCAGACACCTTCCGTTTTTGTGGGTGTCCCACGAACACCCTGCAGAAAACACAGGCATTATTTAGTTCTCCTTGAAGCAAATTGCAGTGGGACTGCTGGTTTTAAGCTCGATATCCAACACAAGTACTCCCAGATACCTGGTCTGCAGTGCAGGAACTGCCAGTTCAGAGCTTCCTGAGTAACAATTCATTGTCTTAGCACGTTATCAATCTCCAAACTTTTCTGGGAAGATAAAAAGCATTCACCAAACCAGCTGAGTCACTATTTGGTGCACTGAATGTTCCAGTCAGTGTTACCTGGGACCAGTATTTCACAACATGCCACTTTGGTCATTTAAGGGGTATCAGCACTTACAGTGAGTACTTCACAAGCAATCATCTGCACTCTAAGATACTGCACATCTGACACTGAACTTTTAACCACAGAGAATTTAGCACAGAATTTAGAGTTAGCCAATGCTCAGCACGAGGAGTGGAAAGATCACTGTTAAGATTGAAACTACTTACAGAACGCTCAGTAGTTGGGGAATTGCATGAAGGTACAGCCAGCTACGTCTACCTACTGCGTGCTAAGCAGGTTCGTGTATCCTGCATTAACACCAAGGCATTTTATGCTGGGAAGTCGCGTTCCCAGCTTATCTGGTACAATGTAATAATAAGCAAAGCAACTACCTTGAGTCCAGAATGCTTTGAAATTCTCCTGAGGGGAGTTAATGAAATTAACAGCAAGCTAACGAATTCATCAGATCTACAAAACAGCCTTGAAGGGAATTTATTTGTACGGTGCAGCATTAACTCCAGATTTAGATACTGCTTTTGATGCATTACCTCTACACATCAATAATAACAATAGCCATCGTGCAAGAATGCTCATTTCTCTGTATTTTACATACAGGCTTTTATGATTTATCCAGCAGCTACAAGATTCAGGACTAGCTCCTGCAGCCCCCATAATACAATTGAATTCTGAGCTATGCAAATTAGTCCACTCAATTAGCACGAGGACATAAGCAAGTTACAAGTATGAATTAGCAGGTTCTCCCCTAATCACTTGAGCAGCACTTCTGGGGTTTTTTTTTTTTGCCAAGCAGTTTCAGGCAGGTACACAATACGGAGCAAGGCCAGATCCTGCAATCTCAAACAGCTTAAGAGCATATAAATATCTCATTAATAACCCGTAAGTTAGGGAGTCGGTCAATACAAGTCTTTCTATGGGTTTATTTTAAAATAACCATTGCTAGTCTTCTGCTTAAAGTCTTTAGAAAGTATCAAGCAGTAACTGCCAAGGTGGTAAGTGCAACCAGCCCACCACCCGTCCTCCAGAGCTAAGGTAAGAAATGCTTTACATGCTGCATTACTTGCAGCGTAGCTTTCGTTACCGTTATCTGACAGCACCTGCAAGATTTTGAGTTGCTTTCTTATTGCAGCCCAACGATCAAAAATCTGCACCTACTGGGCAGTTAAGCTATTTGTCCCAGTCTTAGGCTAGAGGCTTCATGGGAAGAGATCTCAGCTCTTCACTACAGTTCCACACCCTGGGCCTAGTTGGATCTCTATGGCAAGACTCTCAGTTTACTGCTGAAGGTGTGGTTATATTATATTTAGCCTCTTAATTTAACCATGAATGGCAAGAAAAGTTACTACATTTAGTTTTCTATTTATTTGAAGCACAGTAAAAAAAAGTTGGTACACTTTGGGAATTCAGTGGCACAACGTACACTGCCATCAAGTTAGGGACGTTATACATCAAAAAAACAGCTAAACTTGTTTTGAAACACTGCATTACATAATTAAGTTGTACTTGCCCAAACAGACCACTTACAAATATTAGGTCAGTAAGTTTCTAACATCCATAAAAACGTAGCTTTCTTACTAAAATGCAAGAATTAAAAAGTTGGTGTCTAAACAAGACAGACAAAACAAACTGGAATGAAACTACAGGTCACATCTAAAATCGGGGCTTTTTGTTTGGGCCTTCGTATTCTTCTCTCCCTCTACCATATCCTGTTGGTGTTCCAGGCCCCATTCCTCTAGGACCCTGGCCACCCACAGGCCCCGCACCTCCCTGCCCAAAGCGTTCAGGACGCTATTGGAACAGAATTAACAGTTCATTATATGTAGTTGATGTCCATGTGTGTTAAGTATATATTTTTAGAAGGTTCCGCAGTCAAGGTTCGTCGATACAATCACCATTGAGCCGATCCACAGGTACCGGGAACATAGAAAGGAAAAAAGGGTAATTTAAAAATTAGTTTATTGTAATACATGCCTTGAGGTATGTTCCCACTTGATGCATTCTCATACATCTGTTACAAAGAACAGATCCTCCCTGCAGTGCTAGAAATGTAAGCATTAGTGCAGATGTGAATTAACAACTTTTCACAATGAGCTCTAGCAATTTTCAACCAAGTTAATGCAAACAGCTTGCAAACTTCTCACCTTTAGTGCGATAAAAGCTTAGATTACATCACTGTCATTTCCAAACAAGCCTAGCCAGAGAGAGCTTCTTCAGTTCACTGAAGTACGAGCTGACATTCGTGAAATGTCACTGTAAACAGAATGCCTACTCACCAGTTAATGGCATGTGCTGCAATAGAGCCCATGTGCTTTTCAAGATGGGGTTAAGACTACGGTCTGCTGACTAAACTGTAGAGGTCTTAGGCAGTAATCAAAACTGACAGTGAGCGCTACTGCATTACAAGAAGAAAAAAAAATGTGAAAAAGCTCATGACCAGTGATTTACCTAACCAACGCAACTGCTCCATCAAAAGACTTGCTTCTGTTCCATCCCACACACTCCGAAACTGCTGCTGTATGTGCAGTGTGTGTTCAGAGAACCACAACTGACTCCGTTTCAGGTTAGAACTATGCACAAAGGGTTGTGTGCATCCAGTCAATAGATCCCTTCCCACCCCACCTTCATCACAAGCTCCTGGAAAAATTCACAGCTTCGGTGTTGAAAGGCTACACAGCAAGATGTAAAAGCTAAGTTACCCTGCAGTAAAGCAGAGACTTCAGATATTCTTGCTAGCACCTCCCATTGCACGTACTTCATTCAGTTACTGTAACAGTAGTTGTGATCAGCATTCAATGTACAGAACTGCCAAATTTTAACAAAAAGCTCTCGACCTTGGTCTCAAGCACAGTTTTCTGCTACCAAGTAACAGAACAATGCTGGGCTGTTTGTTACAAAAGGTACCTGCAACTGAAAACTCAGACCCCGCTTCTGAAAGTCAGTTTCACTCCTCCCAAGGAAAGTTATGTCAAATGCTAACAAATCTTTTTCCTGCCTACTTTGTGGCAGCTGGAGTCTACCTCCTCTCCCTCACGAAGATGTCAGCCCAATAACTGTGACAGCACTGCGTGGCAGAGATCCCCCATCCTAAGAAACTCAAGGCCATCTCCCTGTCACACGTTTCCAGGTATTACACTCGTTCAGCATGCACCTGTACCGGGAATTTCAAGAGGAGAAAAATACTCACAGCATTTACCACAGACTGCCTAACTATTTGCTGGAAGCTTAAGAGCTGCCTAAAGGTATCAGTAGACTACAGGTACATTAAGGCCACCAGCACTGTCTGCTGAATCGTTGCGGCTCTGCAGAGTTATGGTTTCTAAGACACAGTTCCCATCAAAACAGAAGATATTTGATAAGCTGTTATGGTAGCTCACAAAGTTAAGCCAGAGGCCTAAACCCACCCAAAAATCATTTCGTTCAGCTTGTGCAACACAGTACACCCTGTAAGAGGAGGGTGAAAGCACGCTAGTATCACCACCTCAACCAACAGCTTTCCATTATACCCAGTAAGCATTTCTTTAACCTGGATCAGCATTGCTTCAGTGTGATAACACCAAGCAGGCTCAAAGCCCATCCACACATATAGTGTGCCAAAAATAGTGCAGCTTGGAACCATACCTCGGAGCCCGAGATATGCAGCAGCCTTAACAAACTCTACCTACAGTCATCCCCAACAAAGAGAAAGCAACAAGAACAGGCTATCATTTCATTCCCTTGTGGATTAGGAACCACAAAATGGCTACAGTCAGACCACTGGAACGTGCCCTAAGTCTTGGAAAAAAAAAGACAGCAATCCTGCTTTTCTATAGCAAACATCAGCATGTAGAGTAAGTGATATGCTGCTCCCATTATTTAAGTTAATCTGCTACTTAAGAGACGTTGGCAGATTTCTGAATTAACAGCATATCTCTAACAGCATGCATCAATTCTACCAAGGCTTGGAAGGGCCAAAACAAATGCAATGTTCAACTGTGGAAAGGAGAACAATCATCTCACTTGCCCATACAGAAGGTCACATTACTCAACAGCTGCTACTGTTATTTTAATTCTGAAAATTTTCGTATTCTCTAGAATTTATAAAAATCCTTCCAAGCCTAACTGTGATGCAGAATTTCTCAAGTCCAATAAGGTCAGAGTTAATTGCAAATATGCTTAACAGCACATTTGAATTCAGTTACAAACAACTTCCAACTGCGTAAACTACCGTAATGGTTAACTAAACTAGTACTACATAATGCCAAACTACTCCTCCATGTTAAACACCTGACGAGAAAGTCAGCAGTTAACAGTGAAATTTACACAACCGAACACAGAACTTCATTTCCAACTGCAACTTTTCTCTTGTGCTAAACTAAAGCCATCACAGGATACGTTACCATGTCACTTCCCATCATAGAACCACTCATGGCTGCTTGGCCAACTCCTGGATTAGCTTCATAACCTATGCCGCCTCCACCTCCAAGAGGTGGAAATTTCTGGGCTGCAGAAGCATAAGGATCTAAGAAAGAGAAATATATAATCATATTCTGACAATTTCTGAGGTAGCCACATTAAATAATCATTTAAAAATTCTTTACCTCCCATGTTCATTGTGGTGGCACCACCCATTCTCATGTCTCTCTCCCTCTGCATAGAAGAAACAACTTTTAGCACAGAAGCTACAACTGAGACCCAGCCTCTCAGGAGACAAAGCGTGCGCACAGCCAACTACTACCACCTCAGTTACACAAAGACACCACCTCTAACCTAAAGGAAGCAGAACACGACCTCAACAACATGCAACAACTCTGGAAATCTCTGAGCACGGTCATCAATCCGGGAAACAGAGCGGTTTCACTTACGGGATCCATATAACCCATTCTACTGTAATTCTCTTCCCTCTGCCTTCTCATCTGTTCTTCCATCTCTCGCTGACGGATCATCATCTCCTCCTCCCGTCTGCGACGCTCCTCCTCCTGCCTGATCAACCCAGAGCAGATCATTAAACCACGGCAGTCACACACACCAGACATCAGCCCCACGCACGAGCAGTTTCAGTTAATGATTACGCTTCAGAAAAAAACACAATCAAGGAAAAAAAACTTGAACTGCTGTTCAACTTCTCATCTACAAACTGAGGCAGCAATGGTTTCTTGAAGAAAGTTTTCACAAATCAACCATTAAAAAACACACAACTGAAAAATCCTGTAAAAGCCAGACCAACCTGAGCTGAATTTCCTTGCGTTTCTGCATTTCCTGATTATGGAGTTCTTCCATACGTCTCAGTTCCTCCTGACGCCTCATAAGGTCTGCAGAAACCAAGTCTGTCAGCAGGAGCTCCTCCACAAACTCAGATTTAAATTCAGATTTGAATTAGAGTAACATCGATTATTCTACTGCAGACACCACACAGCACTGGTCTTAATCATGCTTTTAAGTCAGACTGAGGAAGCACGGTTATTCGAGCTGTTACCAAGTTAGGCACTGAAGGCAGCATTCAGAGCAAAAACAAGCATGAGGAGACAAAGAATTCGGAGCCCATTACCTTGACGCAAGAGGTTTGCCTGATGCTCGTGATAAGCATCTTCCATCTCACTCTCGAGTTTGTCCTTGGCATCTTTCATGTTTTTTGCCACTTGTTCTCTCTGTTGTTTTTCCATTTCATCTAAAGATTTCCATCTCTGGGAATATTCAAACTCAAAACTGCCAGGCTGGGCAAAACGGGGAGGAGTTTCTCTTTCCCTGCAGAAAGGAAGATGCTCAGCCAGGCTGCACAAGCCTCAAAAATGAAGGTCAACAAAAAAATCACTGGCACCACAGCCAAGCACAAGGAAACAAAGGAAAACAGGAATCACCTCAACAACGTGATTAAAGATTGCTTGGACAGAAAGAAAACCATACAGCATTTTATGGATTTAAACAGCAGCATTTAAGTTAACTCAACAACTACACCAAAGGCAAACACAGAGTGTCTCCTGCACCATCACATCCAAGCAAATTGTTCTGCTTCCTGTTCTACTGCATGTTTACCCTGCAGCTTCCTCATCAGAGCCCTCCTCTGCAGGCAAATGCCAGATGCAAAATCCAAAACTAAGACGAGCCCTTTGCCCATATGCAGACAGCTGCTGAAAAAGCCCCTGAGCACAGAGTTTCCAGAGCTGACTTACCAGAGTACTGTGCTAAAGCAGAGTAATATTTACTTTAAGCTAGTCTTCAAAACATCTGAGAGCTGACAGCTTATGCTGACAAAGCAGCTGAAGTTAAGAGATGCAGTAGTTAATGGAAAAAATAGAAAAGTTGAAGAACTTTTCCCATATTACCAATTCTAAGTACTTTTAAGGTCTCAGGAAAAACACTACACTGGTCTGCACTCTTTACAGGAACATGGTCACTAAGGTTCTTGAAGTCTTTGACCAAAACAAGTGATTTCAAACACTTTCTCACATAACACATAAGGCCTTCTCCATCCACTCCCTTTTGCAGCCTGAAAAGCACAGTTCTACAACAAACAGGCTTACATGCACAGGTCCTAACCTAAAACTCATCTACCAACTCTCACACACAGTGGTCTCCTGGTAAGGCAAGTCCATACATTTGGTAACCATGTAGCAACCTGAGATTTTACTTTGTTTCTCAAAGTAATAATTCCAACACATTTATTTCCCAATGGAACACCAACATAAGTCACACCACAATTATCAACAACAGAACAAGCTGTAACAGCTGACACCCGATTTCTGAGCTGTGCAATTACACTCCTACATTCAGCCCCAAAATCTGTTATCAGGCTGATATTTATGCACCATTTGTGATATTCAGAGCCAGGTTCTGAAAACCACCCTAACTCTTACACAGTCAGTGACCAGACTACGTTATCTGCAGACTCATAGCAAAAAGAGGGTGCCTACTTTTGGTACATCGGGTTCTTCTGAGCAAGCTTTTCTGGAAGACCATCTTCATCATCCAGTTGCTCCAACGGTTCCACAATAACTGGCCTAGGGGTGCTAAATACAAAATACACACGCTTTACATTTCTATATCGATCCTTGTTCTCATGTAACAGAAGGAACTGACAGTTTTACTCCGCTTAGAACTAAAAACCCTGAGAAGCAAAATACTTACGTCGTCAACAAGAACACTCCCTCAGTACACCGTTCAAACGCTTTTCTGGCAGCTGGCTTTGACGCAAATTCAACAATGCCTTTTCCCGTTGATCTACCTCGATCATCTACAATCACAACAGCTCTCTCCACCGGACCGAACTGGGAGAAAGCTTCCTCCAGTAACTCGTTGGACACGTAAGGAGAAAGGTTACGCACTGACAGCGCGGCGGCGTGCGTGGCAAAGCGAACGCGGAGCTGCCGGCCCCGCATGGGGGTGTCGTCCAGTTCTGCCTTGGCGATTTCTGCCAGAGCTCTAGATTCCTGGGGGAAGTTTAAAACCCAGTTTTAGGAAATCGGGTTATAAGCCGCTACCTGCGAGATTTTTTAGGAGACGAGCAGACGGTACGAATGCCTACCAACTTAATGAAGCCAAAGCCTTTTCCTTTGTTGATAAAAACCTCTCCCGGCTCCCCGTATTTGGCAAACAACCTTTTAAAGTCTTCATCCGTTATATCGGCGGGCAAATTCCCAACAAACAAACGGCACCTCTGAGTGTAAGTCTTCTCCCCGGGCCTCCTCAGCAGGGAGAGGTTTGCCTTAAAGCCCTACGAAGAAGCAGAGCACATGGAGTCGGCGCCGCAAAGCCGCGGTCGGATCCGAGCGCCGCCGCCGCCGCCGACCCCCCCCCGCGCAGCCCGGACCCCCGCCCCGCGCTCCTCCCCTCAAGATGGCGGCGGGAGCGCGCGGATCTCCGTACCCGGCCGCAGCCGCCGCCATCTTGTGGCTGGGAAAGGGGGAGGGGGCCGTGACTCACCTCGTCCGAAAGCTTGTCGCCGCCGGCCGGGCCCTGCTGCGAGGAGAGGCTCTGCTGTCCCTGGTGCTGCTGCCCCCGGCCCCTCGGCTCCCCGCCCGGCCCGCCGCGGTGGCCCGGCCCGCCCTTGTGAGGCCCGCCCGGCCCCTGCTGCGGCCCGCCTGGCCCCTTGGGCCCGCCGCCGGGCGACTGTCCTTGTCCTTTCTTAGGGCCGCCGGCCGGGGTGGGGCTGGGGCTCGGCTTGGGCTGCGGCTGCTGCTGCCCCCCGGGGCCGGAGGGCGCGGAGGAGGGCGCGGAGCCCTGGGCCTGCTGCTGCGGCGGCTGCCCCGCGGGCAGGGCGGACGGAGGAGGCGCCCCGGGGCCGGACTGGCTGCCGGCGGGGCCCGCCGTGGTGGCGGAGGACGAAGAGGACGAGGACGGTGGAGCGGAGGTCGACGCCGGAGGCTTGGGCGGTTCAGACTTCGGGCCTCCGCCCGGCGGGCCGCCGGGGCCCTGCGGGCCGCCCCCCATAGGCCCGCGGTTCTGGCCCATGCCCATGCCGGGCGGCGGAGAGCGGAAATCGTGGTTGGGGCCGCCGCGGCCACCGCCACCGCCGCGCCGATGGAAGCCCCCTCCGCCGCCTCCACGGCTACGGAACCGATCCCGCGACATGATGGTGATGGGGAAGGCGGAGAAAGAGAGGCGCGCCGGCTGCCGCTGCTGCTCCTCAGAGCCCGCTGCTCAAAATGGCGGCGAGCTAAAGGGCCTCGCCGCCGCCTTTGTCCGTCCGTAATATACCTTCCCCGCCCCCGGAAACCGCCCCCTCCTCCCCACTAACCAATCCTCTGCCGCAGCGGCGAGGACCGATAGGTAGGGCGACAAATGGCGCGCCCGTGTTCCGTAAACTCTTTGATCCTATTGGTAACGAGCCTGCCCTCCGCCGATTGGCTCATTTGACCGCCGACATCGGGACAGGATGATCCGTTAACCTCCTGCGTGCTGATTGGGCAGTTTGACCGGCGGGAGGTCAGTTACGACGGAAGTTCAGCTTTCGATTGGCTGCCGGGGAAGTCAGTCGGGCGCGAACCCGCCCGCCCCGCCGAGCGGCTGCTGGCGCTCCGCAAGCCCGGTAGCCCGGCGGTTCGGTTCCGTTCGGTTGGGTTCGGCCCCACCAACGGGGCGGCTCCGTTGGGCCTCCCCGGCGCGGTGTCACTTGTGCTCTGAGGGCGGGTTTGATGAAAAGTTTCCCATGTGTTCGTTCAAGCACGGCAGCGCAACACAACGCCAACGTGGGAGGTCTGGGCCAGCAGCGCTTTGACCCGAGCTGCTGTGAGGAGCCTGGCAGGGGAGGGGCGTAAAGATTTCCTTCCAACTGAGAAGAATCATCTGCAGACTCCTTGTAAACGAGGGGCACAGCTCTCTGCTGTCCCCTCTGCTGATAAGAAAGCAGATGTCAGTTCTCCAAAGCATACCTACAGGTAGATAAACAAAGAAGCTGTAGAACCCGGTGTTACGGCTGGAATATCCCATGTTCTCAGACAGAAAACAGCCCAAAGTGGCTCCCATCCATTCAGTGGGGCTGGTTTCAGTGGTGGTGCACTGGCTTTGCATTTAGCATGCTAACGTTAGAACAAAGTGATATTTTTAATGAGGGCTTTAACCCATCAAGGCTCACGTTGACATTACGTGTTCAGTTTCAGGTCAAACGAAACAAACTGGAAGTGAAGCCCAAGGGAAAGCCACGTGTTCTCTTTATTTGGGCAGAAACTGTGAATGTTAAATTGCAGAAATTGTGATAAAATCTCATCAATCTCATAAATATTTGTGAAGTACCGCACAAAGGCAGATTTCACTGCCTAACAAAATGGATTTCCCTTTGGCTTTAAAAGTTTGAAACAAAAAGTTTGCCAGAGACCCACCTTTTCCCCACCTTAGCATCTCCCCAGGCTGTACGACTTCAGCCACTTCCATCTGCAGCAGAACGAAGGCCCCGAGTTCTGTTCTAAAATGGATTCTTGGAGATGCCAGCCCTGCAGCGAGCAGTGAGCGCTTCCACCACGAGGTGTCTCAGAGGTTAAAGCGCTGGAAGAAGCAATTTGGACTGGCTCTTACAAACAACTGGCGTGGCCTCCTAGCAGTACTTGATTATTTCTGAAAGCTTCAAAAATTATTGAGTATAAAAGAGTTGATTTCAGCTTTGTTGCATCCTAAGTACAAGTGAACTATATTTTAGGGAGCTATTAATCTATCAGCTTTTGAAAGAAAAGAGAGTATAACTGTGGTCCCAGACCCAAACAAATCTTGACAACTTCTTTGAAATACACAAAATAGCTTTCAGCTTCCATGTGCCCAGCAAGGTCCAGGACACCAGTGTATGTTTTTGTAACGCTGTAACTGTAATAGGAGTATTTATCCTGGGCTTGAAATCAAAGACACACAAACGTAGCTATGAGGACTTGAAATAAAAATGACCTCGGCTAGCAATCCCCTGATTTTGTAAATATTCACTCTGGGAAGCTTGCTGTTCTAATAGAAAAACAAACACTGAGGAGGAAAGCTTGTTACCTCTCCCACCCTAAATAAACATTGTGTCTGAGACTGGAAACCCGGGACAACCAAAGCAGTCCGCAGCTGAAGACAGAAAAACACCTGCGGCAGGCTTTGGAAGGCATTTGCAGAAGGCAGGCAGACACTGAGGTCTGAAGTCATTAATGCCTCAGTAGCCAACAAGGGTAATCTTCAGTTAAGAAAGCTATCTGCACAAATTCAAGTAGTGTCACAGAACTAAAGATGCTCAGCAATTAAAAAAAATAATCAGGAAGGAAAAGGCAGGAGCAGACAGAGTGCTTGTGGCAGTGAGGCATTCCAAAAGTGCAGGCTGGTGGCCTTACCCTGCTGCAGGCTCTGCCAGTCAAATCTGTGGTGCTTTCTGATCAACCTGTCTGGAGCAGCAGGGGTTTCTGCAGAATTTCATTATTCCAGCATTCAACAGTTTCATGAATAGCAGCGTCACCTTTAAAGAATAAAAGAGGAAGTAAAATGCCTACAGCAACATCTGGTACATAAAGCTGAGAAACGATGAAAGCAGTGGCAAATAGCTGCAACGGCTCCTCAGCACAGCAGAACTCTCAGCAGCCTTCCTGTGCACTTGATGATGAGAGTTCTCCCCTCCTTCCCTCCTCTACTGTTTCCTTTCCCTGCTTGAGTACTGACTGATTATATCTCCTTTTATATCTCCTTTCCAAGAGGTTGTTCCTGTACACTACGACAAATATGCCTGTAGGCCATTTTTAAAGCCAGATGACTGTAAGTAACGTAGGTCTACAGGAGAGATTACAGTGATAGTAAAGCAAATGCAGAGAATGACTGCAGGGAAGGAGTTGATTGTCTTTGCACAGTAACACCGTGATTTCTTCGGATATAATCTTGACTTATCATCAAATAAATGAAAGCTGAATCAGGTTCAAGAATCTACACAAAAAGTAATATAGTATCTGCAGGGAAATCTTCTGTCTGAAACAAACTAAACACCAAAAGTTCACAGTTCTGTTGGAGCCTGTTCTCTCCACCTGAAAAGATCAGGATTTTCCCTTTTACATTTTCTGAATCAATTTAAATTCCTGAAATACCTTGAGTAGCAAGAGTTCTGAGACCTCTATCTACACCACTGTGCATTCCAGTGTTTGTGAGGGAGAGTTCACCTGGTGAGACTGGATGGGTGAGACCAGCACTTGGCCTGAAAAAGAATTCATGGAATCATTAAGGCCAGGAAGGAAACGTTCTACACTGCTTTTATAACTGGAGAATCGTACACCTACTTATCATTCATACCATGCAGTTCCCAGTGCCACAGCCTGTGATCCCCTCATGACTTTTAACTGAATACAGTAACTTAAGAACACTGAACTCCAAGATGGGGGAAGTTCTGTGGCTTGCCCAAATTCACAGCAAGATGGGAAGAATGTCTCAAGCACTCAACCAGGCTCTCCCACCCCTTGGCTCTCTGTTTTCTCCTTACTCAGCAATAGCTGTGTTCTGCCAGTGGATGGAGTGAAGCTTGTACATACTCTGTATGTCTGCTGAAGGCGCAGAGGAGCGTGCCAAGTCAGTCCTCCAAGAGGCTCCAAGAGCCCTCAGTTTCCAATGAAGTCAATTGGAGTTAAGGATGCACACTGGCTTGCAGGAAGCAATCAGCAGAGCTATATGACAAAGCAATCAATCCGTACATTTCTTTGAGCTGTGGAGAGACAAAAGATATGCGTAACTAAAATTTATCCTGTCGCCATATAGCTAACAGCTTTCACTTCTTCTGTTAAGATAACAGAAGGCAATAAATATGTGACTGGAATGGAAGGTAGCTGTTAAAGATAATCCCATTCCTCATTGCCATGGACAAAGACACAGGCTCAACAAAAAATACACGCAATAGCTCTGCTAAACTTCCAGCAGTTCTAAGTTGCAGCTGTGCTTAATGCTTGCCACAGTACCAGTGAGGCAGAAGAACGGCAAATCCACCTGGTATTCCTTCCAACTGCCATTGCTTCCTGAAAGTTATAAAGACCAAAAGAGAAGATTGGAAACAAACAGACAGTGGGCACTCCGTAGATTATTCATGTCAATTTTCAGGAACTCTCAGTAGACAGAGATAAAGTTCATACTGTTATAACCCCAGAACAGTAGAGTAGACTTCACAGAGAACTGATTATCCAACAACCTGATGCCTGTCCCAGGCAAAATTTCTGACCTTGAGCACGCCGAGATTTTGCAAAAGCCCAACACTTCACTACTGAAAAAAGTCTTACCTTTGGCATCTTATTGAGACAAATCATGCCCTCTCAATCTCACCACACCACAGTGCCCACCGGAGCCCGAAACAACGTCTCATTGAGTTCCTTCTAATCTCACCCTCTATTGCTCTGCGTCTCTCAGTCTCCCACTGATGAAAGCAGCACAGGGCTGTGCTACAGGAAGAAAGCTGATAAGGGGGGGAGTTTCGACTGCTAGAAGGGAGTGAAGAGCAGATGAAAAAACAAAACTGAAGACACACAGAGGAAAAAAGAATGGTATTTCCTCTCTTGTGCCTTGACGCGAGACTGTGTTAGGAATGTGGTGTAAACTCCAGCTTCTGTGAACTGGGTTGTCATTGTAAAACCTCACCAATAAGGCCATTAAATTCCTGAAATACATTGAGTAGCAAAAGTTCTGAGACCTCTGTCAAAGTATCGGAGACATAAATTTGGTCTCTTGTGAAACAGTCAGAGCACCATAAGAAAATGTAATAGGAAATTTCCCTTCCTTTCCCTTCCTTCTCATCTCTTACCTTAGCAGAAGCAAGGTCTGAATGTAGTTGGAAAGCAGTCAATGACCACCTAAGAATACTTACTGCAACAAATAGCAAGTTTTTGCTTGCTCTCTCTGCTATGGACTGAGTGCACCAATGCCCAGGAGGACGTAAGGACCCCGGTCCTCTCTGAGTTTTGTACTTTTTGCCATAGACTTTTTCACCCAGTGCAAAAAATAAGCTTCAAAATGCACTGCAAGAAATAGTGACTTTTGGATGGCGTACTCTACAGAGTAAAAAAGACTGAGTCACTGGCACAGCGTAGCACCAGCTGTTTATAATACATAAATAGCTGTACAAGTCTAGATACCAGATTTGCACATGCTGGTCACTATCTATTTAAATATTTCATGACATATGCAATTAAGCTCCTCCATCACTGCTGACTGACTGTAGAAATCCATACGTTTAGCACTATCTGTGCTCTTGGTG